CCCCCCAGCCATGTCCTGTTTTCTGGGTGTATGGATGTGAGGGGCTGGAAGAACAGCCTGTGTTTTCCAGGGGAATGAGATGGGATTCCAAGACCCGGGGGGTGGCAGGGCTGGCTGTGGGTTGGGGTGACCGTGGGTGTTGTGGCGTTCCCAGATCCCTCAGGCAGGGAGGGGGACAGCCCCCAGGAGCACTGGGAGGCAGCAGGGGTGGATTACAGCCCCGGGGTTCTGTCACTGAAGGGTGTGGGTGCTGGAACAGGGATGGGTGCTGGAGCTGGAACAGATGTGGAAGCAGCTGGACTGGGATGCTCAGTCCTCACATCAGACAATGGAGTTTGGGGCCAAATGAACGCTCAGTGCAGCCTCTGAAAGACTCTTTTCCAGGATCTCTCTGCTCCAGGGCACATTTAGCAGGAGTTTTAGGGTGCTTAAATACAAGCCCATCACCCTGCAGGGGCCACCTGGCCCCAGGGGTGACGAATGCTGCACGGGGCCCTTTTTTCTGCTCCCGTCCCGTGGCATCCACACGTGGCTCAGGGGGACAGGGATGAGCCAGCATCTCTCCAGGCACTCCGTCACCTCCGGTCTTGCCTCCAAAGGCCTTCCTTGTCCCAGGTGCCTCAGTTTCCCTTCTGCATGTGCCACCAAGACTTACAGACAGCGGTTTCTTTACAGCTTGTTGGAAACAGGGGAGTACATGGGGGGCCTGGGGAGGGCTGTGTGCCCATGGCCCATGGCTGTTTTCTTCCCGTGTCCCTTCCAAAACGGAGCAGTTTGTTCTCATTAGGGATGCACTGTGGTGGGAACCTCTTTCCTGTCCCCCTCCCCGGCAGTGGAGGGGAAACAGGGGGCCATTTATTCTCATTTATTCTTTATATGTCCTGACCTGGCCTGCCTTGCACTGACCCTTAATTTTTCGGCGGTGCTCAAAGACTGAGCATTGTAGGAGGGAGTTGCTGAGGCATTGCAGCTGCCCGGGCATGGCTCGGGGAGCCTCCAGCCCCTGAGCTGCCTGCCCTGGGTTTGCGGGCACCCGGGGCTTTGTCGGGACGGGATGAGCAGGGGATATTCGGTCTCTCTCTGCTGCGCCGCACACAGAGTTCCCTCCTCGCCGCTGACATTGCTGTCCTGCCGCTGGGGCATGAAGGGCATCGCCTCGGGAGATAGCAGCGTTATCTCCGGCTCGGGGCAGGCAGCAGAGTGTGACCTGCTCACACCGTCCCCTCCCGGCCGGTCACCTCCCCTGCCCCGCACACAGGGACCTGCAAACTCAACATCCCCAAACCCAGCTCCTCCGAGCCCCCACCTGAGCACAGCCCGGTTCTGGGCGCGCTTCCAGGAGAAAATCCACGCTGGGAGGGTGCAAGGACTGGGGGGTGGCAGCCGAAACGCGTCCCCCTCCAGAGGTGCAGGGAAAGGTGTGATGATAAATCGCACTGACACATTCAGCCGGCTCTAACTAATGACTTCCCCGGCACTCAGCACATTTTCCCAGCGTGCTGGCTGCTCCGAATATTGTTGGAACATTTAACATCCCCTTTTAAGAAAAAAATAAAATAAAATAAATAAAATTAACAGTGCAGTTGGCAGATTGCTGGAGGCACTCGGGTTGTCGGCGGGGAGCCGCTCCGCGCTGGGAGCTGGGTTGCTGCAGTTTCGTGGCAGGAGTTTTTGTCAGCTCATAAGTCTTGTCAGCTCATAAGCTGGGGCAGTCCCCGATGCCTTCGGAGCCGCGGGGAGCCGGGGCCCGCTCATTCCCGAAACTCGAATTATGAGTGTTTTGTTTCCTAAGTGTTAACGCTGTTAGCTCTGCACGGGACGCGTGGCACCAACAGCAGGGGATGGTCCCGGTCCTGCGTGGGTTTGTCTGGGATTGACGGGCAGGGATTGTCACGGGAAGTTTTGATTTAGTTCCTGTGAGGGAAAATTTTGATAGGCGGGTTTGCGAAACTGCTGGGAAGCAGGCAGGAAGGGGCATGTACCTCTGGAACACCTCTGGCAGCCCCCTGGGGCAGATGTGGCTGTGGGGAGATGCCGGGCTGGTGCTGGAGGATGCACTCCCGAGCCGAGGAGATGTCGGGTGATCACGGGGATGTTGTCCCCTGTCACAGCCCTTCCAGCCACGGGTTTCCAGTGTTTGCATGAGCCCTCTCCCAGCCTGAGCCTCCCGCAGCGGCAGCGTGGGGCTCCAGCCTTCAAAATTTAAACCAAAGCAGAAATTCAGCTTTCAGCGAACTCGAGAAAGTGTATTTCCAAACAAAACTGTGCTAAATAAAGGACGAGCCGCAGGCGGCCGCCTGCTCCGGCACATCCACTTTGCTGCTTTTATTTAGCTGCCGTCTCCCCAGGCTGCCGCTGCCGGCCTGGAACGGAGGGGTCTGTCCCTCTGTCCCTCTGTCCCTCTGTCCCGCCAGGAGCTCCGGGAAGGACTCGGTCCGAGAATGTGGGGTCCCGCATGGGAAAGGGGCTGTGCCACGAGAGCTTCCCGGTACCCAAAACGGAGTCGGCTCCTTGGATCTGTCCTGGCATCACCCTGCAGCAGAGGGGTCCCTGAAACTCTGTGTGACATGAGAGGAAAGGGAAAGGAAAAAGGGAAAGGGGGAGGGAGGAAGGGAGGAAGGGAGGAAGGGAGGAAGGGAGGAAGGAAGGAAGGAAGGAAAAGAAACAGAGAAGAGTGGAGGAAAGGAAGGAGGGATGGGGAAAGGAGTGCAGGGATGGTGACGGGGACCTGAGGGCCCCACCCCGGGTGAGGGCAGCGCTGCTGCCTCCGCAGTCACCCGGGCACAGCTCCCCTTCCAGCACAGTTAATCCAGACCCCAGCTAATCCTCTCACAGGTCACTGGGGGCTCATTGCATTTTGTTCACTTCTCAAATGCATCTAGAATTAATTAAAAAAACCCGACTCTAAATTCTGCCTGTGGCAAAAACATTCGGTGTATTGCCCTGGGGCGAGCCAGAAGGGTGATAGAGGAGCAGCCTTTTCTGGCCCAAAAAAAGACGAGAAACATTAATGGATGCAATCAGGATGGACAGGAGGAAGACTCAGGGTGGGAGACCAGGTTGGTGTTGGGCAGCTGGCCTGACAGATCTGCTCTGCAAGGCCACTTTGGTCCTGTTTAACTTCCAAGGACAGTAAGATTGTAAATATTTACTATTAATATTAACTGTTTGTCCCTATTTTAGTCTCCCCTGTGGCTCCAAGGAGGGAGAAGCTCTTGTTCTGCGTATGAGCAATCCCTTGGTCTGCTGAGATGCCAACAAACCACCCTGACTCTTAAAAAATCAGCTTTGGGGATAAAAATGGTTGTGCTTGGATTGCAGCAGGGGGAAATGTGTTGTTTGGTGTAAGGTGGTGGCACACATGGGTCTGTGTCCAGCACCTGGGAGGTTTGGGCAGGCTTTAGTGCTCCTGCTTGTGCTGCAGTGCTTCTGGATGGTTTCTTGATTCACAGGCTGGATTTGGGGAGCATTTCAGTAAAAGGCAGTGCAGGGTATCATTGCGAGCCGGGATGATGCAGCCCCAGGCAGGCTGTGCCTGGCAGTGCTCCCTGCTGCTGGCTGGCCCTGGACTCTGTGTAATGGAAAGGGTGTGTTTGTCCCAGCGTGTCCCCGGGCACTGGAGCTGATTGCAGGAATCGACCGCATCGATCGGGCCGGTGGATCCGGCACAGCGTGTCCAGCCCGGCGGCTTCGCTGCGCTCCAGGCGTGAGCTGGGGTATCACGGGGGGCTCTGCACCCGCTCTCCCACCACGCTGCTGCCCTGTGCAGGTCTCACTGCCAGCAAGGCAGTTCCATCCACAGTGGCACGTACCATGGCGCTAAATAATAGGGTGGCCTGTGGCTGGGGGTGGTGTGTGGAGAGTTCCTGTGGTGCCATCTCTTTAAGGTGCTTTGGATGTGCCACATGGCTTCTCCACAATCCTGTCAGCTCCCTGATGCAGCCCCACAAGGGGCTGGGGGGTCCAGCAGCCTGGCAGAGCGTCACTGGGTTTCCTCATCATGTGCTTACCTCCACCAGCGAGCCCACCAGGCTTGGGCCACCTCTCCCATGTCCATGTCACCTCTCTCCCAAGCAAAGTTGAGTGCAGGTCCTTGACCCTGCAGCTGAGCCTTCCAGAAGGGACCAAAACAGCTCCCCATTCCCCAGTGGCAGTTGTTCCTTCATGAGACTTGGCCAGCTAAACCTATCTGTGACCGTGGATGGCTCCAGGTCCCAATGGATACGTTGGGAAAGTTGCTCCTCAGGACATCTGCCCTGAGCAAGTACCTTCCCGGGGCCTTCTCCAACCAGATGCACATTGGCTGTGTCCTCTTCCATCCCCGGGCACGAGGACAGAGGTTAAATCCACATCTCCCTGTGCTTTCCCTCGAGCCCAGAAGAGCTGGTGCTCTGAGGTCGGCGCTGGGCTGGGCATCGATCCATCTGGCACGGGCAATGTGAACTGATGGAGCCGCTTCCAGGAGTACCTTTATTGGTATCTGTGTCCCAAGGAGAACAGCTCGGCCTCTCTGCTTTCTCTCTGCTTTCCTCTCTGGTGGCGGAGCTCGTGGGAAAAGTGAAGTGGAGAAACCCCAGGTTTTTCATCTGCTGGAGTTGTTGGGTGTCCCACAAATGCAGTAAGATTTGTTCACTCACTTTGTATCATTAAAGAACAAACTCTAACACCTTCTGCCTTTCCTCTGTATGTTTTTTTGGGAGCAGCCCAGCCTAGGAAAGGAGAATTAGAGCAGTGTAGGAGCTTGCCACTCAACATGCAGCCCATTAGGACCACTGGGCGAGCAGCCCCTCGGGTCCCTGTGCCATGACTGGTAATGGCCCTGTCTTTGCTTTCTCATTGCAGAACCTCTCACGGGATCGTCGTGGTGACGTGGCAGCCAAGACGTGGAAGTTTGGGACTTCTCTTCCACCGCAGCAGAATTTGGGGGGTGGGCAGGGGTGGGTCAGGGGGACACTGGGAGTCGCAAGACCCTTCACCTTCACTGTGGGCTTGGCTCAGGGATGACTACGGGCAGAGTCAACCCTTACAGCATCGTGTCCTCTGAGGAAGACGGGCTGAGGTTGACCACCATGCCAGGTATCAACGGCTTTGGCAATGGGAAAATCCACACCAGGAGGAAATGCAGGAACAGGTTTGTAAAGAAGAACGGTCAGTGCAACGTGGAGTTCACCAACATGGATGACAAGCCACAGAGGTACATTGCAGACATGTTCACCACGTGCGTTGACATCCGCTGGAGGTATATGCTCTTGCTTTTTTCCCTGGCATTTCTGGTGTCCTGGTTATTGTTTGGGCTGATTTTCTGGCTAATTGCACTCATTCATGGAGACCTAGAAAACCCAGGTGGAGACGATACTTTCAAGCCTTGTGTTCTGCAGGTCAATGGCTTTGTGGCTGCTTTTCTGTTCTCCATTGAGACCCAAACGACGATCGGGTACGGCTTCCGCTGCGTGACCGAGGAGTGTCCGCTCGCTGTCTTCATGGTGGTGGTTCAGTCCATCGTGGGCTGTATAATCGACTCTTTCATGATTGGTGCAATAATGGCAAAAATGGCCAGGCCCAAAAAACGGGCCCAGACATTACTTTTCAGCCATAACGCAGTAGTGGCGATGCGAGATGGAAAACTCTGCCTGATGTGGAGAGTTGGGAACCTACGGAAAAGCCACATAGTAGAAGCCCACGTACGAGCTCAGCTAATTAAGCCCAGGATCACAGAGGAAGGGGAGTATATCCCGCTCGACCAAATAGACATTGACGTGGGGTTTGATAAAGGCTTGGACCGTATTTTCTTGGTGTCTCCCATCACCATTCTCCACGAGATCAACGAAGACAGCCCCTTGTTTGGGATCAGCCGCCAGGACTTGGAGACAGATGACTTTGAGATCGTCGTCATCCTGGAGGGCATGGTAGAGGCCACAGCCATGACGACGCAAGCTCGGAGCTCCTACCTGGCCAGTGAGATACTGTGGGGCCACCGCTTCGAGCCCGTCTTGTTTGAGGAGAAAAACCAGTACAAAGTAGACTATTCCCACTTCCACAAAACCTACGAGGTCCCGTCCACCCCCCGCTGCAGCGCCAAGGACTTGGTGGAGAACAAATTCCTGCTGCCCAGCACCAACTCCTTCTGCTACGAGAATGAGCTGGCCTTCATGAGCCGCGACGAGGAAGAGGAAGACGATGACAGCCGGGGTCTGGAGGACCTCAGCCCGGACAACAGGCACGAGTTTGACAGGCTTCAAGCCACAATAGCGTTGGATCAGCGGTCGTACAGGAGGGAGTCGGAAATATGACACTTGGTCCTTCCGTTGACTTTTCCAAGGGTATTTTTTTTCCTCCTCTAATCTCTTCCCCTACAACCCGCTCAAATTATGCAGAACAATGCAAGTGCCATAGGAATGCTTGAGAAATTAGTATCGTTCATAGTTTTCAGTTTCATCGCAATAACCACTGAGCGGTCTGCAGGAGGGGACGGTGGCAGGCCACGGCGCGTCCCCCGCGCCCGGCGCCCGCGGCAGGGCCCACGGCTCTGGGGGATGGATGGACAGATGGATGGAGGGATGGGTGGATGAATGGATGGATGGATGGATGGATGGATGGATGGACGGAAGGAAGGATGAGGAGAGGAGGGTCCGTGGGGCATGGGCAGGTGCTCGCCCCACACGGCCCCGTGGGGCTTTGCTCTCCCTGCGGGGAAAACGCCAGCGTTTTCCTGGAGCTGAGCACTGCGTGATCCAAAAAAGAGGAAATATCAGGAAACAAATCTCACTCTCTTTTTTTTTTTTTTTTCCTTTTATTTTTTAACTGAGCAGCAACAACAAAACCATTGCTCCTTTGGCAGGTGGTCTGGTTCAGTTGCACAAGAACAACACTTGAAATAACATGCAACATTAATGTACTTCTTTTTAATTTGGGAAAAAAATGGGGGAGGGAGGTGAGAGGGTTTTTAATATTTTCACCGCACCGTTTGGGAGACTGTTTACCAAAATAATAATAATAATAATTATTATTATTATTATTATAAAAATAATAATAATATTAAATCTGAAAGAAGTCATTCAGTATTTTTTGAAAATGAACAAGGGAATGAAGAAGCCACCAGGGTCCTTTGAGGGGGTGACTTGTTGGGTAAATGCAAGAGCTAAAAGTTAAGATTGCGTCCAATTTTGGGGTGTTTTTTTACCACTGGCATGGCTTCATAGGCAGAAAACAGATGTAAGTGACTATAGGTCTGTGGCAGTGAAAGAAAGTGGAATTATTGACAAAGGAGGTAATAAGGATTAGCAGGGCTGTGAGAGAAAAAAGCATTGTAAACATGGTAATTAGCCAGTTTCTGGAAATGTTGGATTTTGGGGTGGAAATGGGGTCTGGAGCATTAGCTGCTGAAGTGTTGGGTCTTCCCCAACATCTCTGATGGGGAATTCATAAGGTTCACCGTAAGAGTGAAAAGCACAAAAATGAGAGAGGAGAGCTCTCAAAAGTGGGTATTTCCTCACTTTTCTGACCAATTTGGTACTTTTCTTCCTTGAAGAACATTTTCAAATGTAGAAATCAATGGGAAAGTCATCTCGTTGGGCTGCACTTCAAGTCCTGGAGCTGTGTCTGTGCCAGGCTGGGCTTTATGAATTCCCAACCCACCAGAGACTCCTGCTTCAGAGGCAGATGTTTTCCCCAAAAGAACAGATGCCAGTTGAGAAAATCACCCCATCTTGCGCTTCAGCCCATCCCTGTGTCCCGGCCTCAAGGTGGATTGTGCCTTAGAGATGTGGACTCATCCCGTGTCCCAGCCCTTCTCCACAGCCCCCATCCTGCATCCCCTCCTCTGGGTGATGCCCCTTTTGCTCTGCAGCACCCACTCCCCCTCATCCACCGCCTTTCAGGCTGGCCTTGGTGACAACCTGCTTTAGCTTTAGCTCTGGCACGAGGCAAAGCACCCCATGCATGGGAAGCCTCCGCTCCTGCCCTGCTCCCCACAGAGGGAAGGAGTCAGAAAGGTGCAGGTTTGTGGGTCCCTTCATCTGGCTGTGCTGCTCGTTGGTGCTCTGGGAGCTGAAATCTGGCTCCCTGATCCCTGTGGCCATGGGAAGGGCTTTGTACCCATGGGCATCCCTCATCTGACCGTGGGCACAGAGCCCTTGGGGAGAGGGCTCAACAGCAGGGTCTTCCATGGCATTTTGGCTGTGATGGGCTCCTGGTGCTTTTCCCCCCACAGCCCACACCAGGGAAGCTGTGTCCTGGGTCAGGACTTGCTGTGGTGTGTCCAAACATGGGTGGCAGAAGCAGGATTTGTCCTGTGTCCCCATCCCCATCTTCTTCTTGCCAAGGGCTCAGGGGAACCGCTGCCCTGAGTGTCCCACTGCCCTGTGCCACCGAGCACCGTGCTGGGGACATCACCCCTGCAGAGTTTCTTCCCACCAGGGTCTGTCACCATCACCCCACACTGCCCACCAAGAGGCTGCTCTGTTTTTGGCTTCCACTAAAAACCTCTGGGAGAAAACCTCCAGGGGCAGCACTGAGAGGCAGATTTTTCAGCACTGAGTGCCCCAAATGCGTTTTCCCTGAATATGGGGACACGTAGGGACGTGCCATTGAGCTCCAGCCACGATATTTCTGTTTCTAAGGCAGCGAAGGCGGATGCCATCCCATCACCAATCCCTTTGCTCCTGGGGGGATGCTTTTGCCCCCTGCTTTTTGCACCACAGCATCTGGGGGGTGGGAAGGATGGAGGGGGGGGCAGAGAGATTTTGTGTGAGCACTACTTATTTATTTTTTTAAAACAAATGCTTTTAAGTGGTTTTAGGTTCTTTTGAATAAATAATAATTATTAAAAAAAAATAAAAGGTGCACATCTTGCTGCTGTAGAGTTCTCAGAGGGTTAAACTTCTTTATAAATATATATATATATCACAGTAAATATTTGTATAAAAACGAAAGAGAAATAGAGATGTCTTTAAGTAAATTATTGCTTTTAAAGAAACTTCTATGATTGTACAGTGTTACCTGGGAGAATAGAATAATATATACAGATGTATTTTTAAACTGCTGTGTAGGAGGATGTGAACTGGGACAGGGAGCGCCTGTGGCTGGCACAGTGAGGGGATTTAGGACCTTCCCTGGCCCCTGTTCACGCACCCCCTGCCCCAAACCCTGCTAGTGAGGGTCTAGCTCTGGTGAGAAGTCCTGTATCTACTGTATAGTCCTTGTCCTGACCATGGACCACACCGGTACATAGTGTATAAATATTATTTTTGCCTACCTGTGAGAGCTCAGAGCTACTGGTCTTTTTTCCTACCACCAGGGAGCATCGGGAAGGCTGCCCAGCCATAGTTTAAATCCCATTAATTGTCTAAAAAAGGGGCAAAAAAGGGGAAAAAATTAAAAAAGGTGGAAAAAGCCCAAGCTCGGCACTTGGGTTTCCTTAGGGGGCTGGGAAGACACAGGGATGCTCTGGGGGTGTGGGGTTTTGGGGAGTGGAATCCCTGTGGGAAAGGGCTTGGAGACGAGCAAGGTGAAATGTCCCCCTCAAAAAAAACCCAGCCGCCGGCCATTTCCTCGAGCAAGCCAGCTCCATCCCTGGAGTTCATTTGATCCTTGGAGGACGGCAGGAGGCCGAGAAAGGAGAGAGCCGCTAATCCTCTTGGCCAGCATCCCGTAGGGATTGCCCCGGGCCGGGGCTCCGGCAGCAGCAGCTCCCCGAGCTGGGGGTCGGGGCTGCACCTGCTGCTGCTCCCGCTTGGCTTCACCCTAAAAAACGCCCCAGTGAGAGCAGAAAGCAGCCGCATCCCCGCGCCCCAAAGCCACCCCTGGGAAGAGCATCCTGTGCCCTGGGGGCTCCTCACTCGGCCGGGGGCCATCGGGATGAGCCTTAGCTTCTCATCACCCAATTTAGTGCACTTGGTCTTTTAGGGCTGGGACAATCACTTAGCGCTCAACCTTTCGCGATTCGGTGCCTGCTTGACCTTCAAACCTTTTGTAGGAGATGACTTCAGAGCCACCTTTTCTATCTTTAATAAGGCAGAACAAATACGTTTATTTTTAAACCCTCCTGCTCTTTCCTCTCGTGCTGACAACCAAAAGAGTCCCCTGAGTGTGTCGTCCCCCCCCTCCCATTTCTTGCACGCAGAAACGAGCGTGTGGCAGCCGTGTCCGGCCACCTCCTGCTCTCCCACCCCCCAATTCAGGAACGCTGCCACGGGGGGGTTGGCACAGGGCAGGATCCAGATGTGTCACGAGCAGGGACAGGACGTGGGGCAGTGCCCGACCCGATGCCATCCATCCCCTCGCCCACCAGCTGTGCACATCTGTCCTGCTGCCCACTCCCAGGGCACCGTCTCCCCTCCATCTCCCCCCCAAACACACCCCAGTGCTCCCCCAGGCTCGGCCCCACGTGGGTTTGGGGTCGGAGACCCGGCACCAGTTCACAGGGCAGGCTGGCAACTGGGAGCACTGGTTTCCCAGGGGTAACACGCTGAGTCTGTTCGCTGGGGCAGTGGTGGTAGAGAAGCTGAGGGATGCAATGAATTATCTGTACCTTTTCCACCTCCGGTGTTTCTCTGTCTCATTGCACATATATTTGAGATATATGTGACAATGTATATATATATTTGTAAAATGTATTTCAGATGACAAAACTGGCCAATTTTATGTTATTTTAAATATATTATATATATTATATATAAGAGTCTCCAAAAGATATAAATAGACTAGAGAAAATAATATAAATATGTAATAAATGTATTTTGATCTATTTAAAATATCTCGCGTCATGCTGTATATTTTAAAGATCATAGTGAAGTGTCTGCCTGTAGCCAACTTCCAACGTGTTTCCAAGTCTGTCAGTTGTCACACACACAGGATATGTGGAGCAAACTTTGAGCAAGACTGGGGCCAGCACGACAAACAGAGATTATTTTTAAGAGCCTTTTAGCAAATATCCATCCTGCTGCCTTTAGGCAGGAGCAAAAAACCACACACCTGAATTTTTCTTGGGAGGATAATTTTCCTCCCTGCTGCAGGAATGTTCAGAATCATGGGGGGGGCTCTGCAGAGGCCCCCCAAACACAGCCCCTCCCTGGGTACCGCTGGCTGCAGTGCCCTGCCCTGATGGGCTCTGCCCACAGGAGCGGCTCAGCCATGCAGGGAGCCCGGAGATGGGAAAATGTGTCTGGAGCTCAAGCAGAACAAAACCAGTCATCCAAGACCGACCCAACAAATCTTTCCAGAGCACTCTTGGTCCCCCTGGGCCCTGTGAGGAGCTGTTTCCTGCGGGCATTGCCTCCTGTGTGACCTCAAGGGACATCACACCAAGTCCAGGTGACAGTTTAAATGTCTTTAATGGTACGTCACGGCTGAAGGGAAGCGGACACAGTGTGTGAGATGCTATTTAAGGAGAGGTTAATGGCCTGGTGGACACAGAGCCCCTGGATTTGCCATCCTGGATTTTCCTCCTGGCTTTCACACCTGGCTGCCACAGGGAACGGGGCTCGTGTACTGAGATAACCTGGGGAAATTATCCATCATCGTTCCT